CTACGCATCTGGCTTTGCATGCGCATTATACTCCTGTTACTGTTGCTCCTGCTGCTCACGCTCCTTATCCTATTTATATTTATATTATTATTATTATTTATATTATTTATATTTATATTATTATTATTTATATTGGTACTGAGGGGAGAAAGAGGAAGACTATGTCTTGTTATAATTGGAGGACGTATAGAAGAAGAAGAAGAAATATATCTACGTATATGTTTTTTTTCTTCTTTTTTTCTTTTTATTTCTTTTGCCCCTTCTCCTATTTCTTCTCCTTTGTTTTTTTTTCCTTCTTTTCCCTCTTCTTCTTCTTCTTCTCTTGTTCCTTCGTCAATTCTGTCTGTTGTTCCTCCCTGTTGTTCCTTTGTATCCTCAATTATTCCTATTGGTTCCCTCCTATCCTCAATTCTTCTTCTTTCCTCTCCCTCTAATATTTCTGCTTGTCCTTCTCCTTCCTCTTCTTCTTCTTCCTCTCCTTCTTCTTCTTCTTCTTCTTGGCAAGGAGGAACAAGAACAAATAGATCAACTTGTATAAATCCATCAAGAGGTAAGAATAAACAAGCACATATAAGAGAGAAGAAAGGACAAGAAAGTGCATAAGCAATACATATATAGCTAAAAGAAAGATGTGTATAATTATAAATAGTATTTAATATAAGAGGAATAGAGAAAGAGAAAGAAGAAGCAGCAGATAGAATAGTAAGAGAGAATCCAAGACTACCAGGAAATAAATTAGATATAGATAAATAAGGATAGAAACATAAATCACAAGAAGCACCAATCATTATAAATGAATATATTATTACACGGAAAGAAGAAGAAGAAAAAGATAAAAATAACCATCCGCATATATTTAATATATTACCTAATATAGCTGTAACTTTAGGTCCAGCTATATCAATAAGTATACCAGCAAGTGCACTAATAATATAATGTGCAGCAAAACATACAGTAAATAATCTTTGTACACCAACATCTTGTGCAAGACATACAGGTCCTGAATTATTTATTGTTGCAGTACTATTATTATAATCTGCTGCTGTTGCTGATTCATTTAAATGGTTATAAGATGTGTCTGTTGCTGCTGCAGCAGCTGCAGCAGCAGCAGCAGCAGCAGCAAATGATGCCTCTGTTTGCTCCTCTGTTGTACATAACCATATATATGCACCTGATCTAAATAACATACTACTTAGCGGACCCCAACCAAAATATACACAAGAGGTTAAAAAAGAATTAAATAAATAAATAAATAATAATATATAACGATTTAGATTAAATGGTGTTGCTTGTAGTGCAGCAGGATGATCACAAGAAGGTAATATATTTCTTATTTTATTCTTTATCTTATTCATTATTTTCTCTATATATTTATTCTTATTTATTTTCCTTATATTATTATTATTATTATTATTATTTTCTTTTTCTTTATTACTCTTCTTCTTATTATTACTCTTATTATTATTATTCCTATCTATTACATCTAATACTCTTACTCCTCCTCCTCCTTCTTCTATATTTTCTCCTCTTACTCCAGCCATTCTCTCTTTATTTATTTATTTATTTATTTATTTATTTATTTATTTATTATATTGTTATTATTATTATTATTATTTAATTAATATACTTTATTATAATAATATTTATAGTATAAGGAAAGGAATATATTATTATATCTATATACTTTTATACTTATATATATATGTATATATATAGATACGTATATATACATACATGTATATAGATAAGTCACTTATAAGGACTATCGAGGCAATTTATCTTATTATAAAGAAGAAAATCGATGCTCCTGCTGCTGCTGCTGCTGCTGTTGCTGCTGCTGCTGCTGATGCCTGCTGATGCTGCAGGCAGCAGCAAAACCCCCATCTAGGAGTTTAATTAACAAAAAGAACAAAAAAAAACAAACTAATGAATAATTAAAAGAAAGAAAAGGCCAGAGACAATTAAAAAAACCTCTGCATACACCACAGCACACGCTGCACGCTGCAGCAGCAGCAGCAGCAGCAGCACCACCTACTACACACCGTATACCCTACAAGAGGAAGGAGGGAGGGAGGGACAATAAGAATAAAAAACCGGTAATATAATGCTATAAAGAAGAAGGTAATTAATAAAACAGCAAAGAATAACTCTAATTCTCCTGCTAATGTTGTTGTTTGTGCTGCTGCTGCTGCTGCTGTCGCTGCTGCTGCTGCTGCTCCCGATGCGCATACCAGCAGCAAAGGGGGCCACAAGCGCTCGCAGCAGCGAAGGAGGGGAGGGACGGAAATACATCTGCCCCTCCTTCCCCATTTTTTATATTAAATGTTCTTTTTTTATTATTTTTTATATAAATAAATTAAATAAATTAAAATATTAACTTTTTTACCGCAAGAAACCCATTAAAAAGCACAGGGGTGCCTCGATTGGTCCATTGGTCCTCCTAGCGGTGCACACCAAGCCACTAAGAGGCAACCAAGGATATTTTACCAGCAAAAGAATTTAATTTTATAAAATAATTATATTTAATTATAATTTATGTTAATTTAGGCAAAAAAGACAAAGAAATACCTACTAGGACACATAATAGGGTATACGTATACACCCCTATGGAGGAGTCCCTCATACCCTAGGGGGCCTCTTGATGCATGCAGAAGGTGCCTATACACCCGAAAACTCAACACACTCTGCTCTTTAGGTGCAGCTAGGTGTGTGCAGTTAGCTAGCCAGCTAGCCACGGCCAACTAGCCTGAATAGAAAG